GGAGAAACAATTTGTCTATTCTTCATTGGTGGTATTCATAGATCATTCAAACTTTCTCCTCTCGGTTGAGCTTGTTTATTTACGTTTCAATAGAATAATATTTTATTTTCTGAGGTTAATTTTAATCATTACATTACAAGAATAGTCTTACTCGATCTAATTTATAACGACGTTTTTCAACTCCATGACTTCTTCTAACTATAGTGATCCTGCAAATTCGAATATAGTGTACGAAAATCTACAAAACACTTCAGTATTTTATTAGCTTATCTATATGAGATTTTCCAACCAAACCTAAAAAGTGCTCCCAATAAAATATAATCCCAACGAGCATTAACGGAAATTTGTAAAATACTAAACGAACAATTTACGAAGATGAAGTATGTTTAGCATCTCTCATTAATCTACTTGTTGTGCAAAGGATTTGGACCTGGGGGGATAGATCGTTTCTCTTGTTCTTCTTCGTCCTTGTCACCGTCGATCTTTCTTCGAACATTAGAGGAAGATCTTCTCCTAAATTTATTAAACATTGACATCTCCGTGATCACATATTCGTGATGATTCTTGTAATATTGTAATTGACCAACGCTCAAGTTATGTTTTCTCTTTGTAGTAGTGAATCTTCCGGCTTGGAGTGAAGAACTTGAACGAGAAAAAATGATTAGAACTAAGACTGTAAATATTACAATAATAACAACAAGTCGTTTCATTGCATATCGTGAAGACAAAATTACCATATTATGTAATCGAAATAAAACAACTAAAAAAGAGCTTGAATCTGATCTATCTCTCTCGAATTTTTTGTTGATTCTTCTTCTCTCTGTTAGCTCTAACGTTAAGACTTGAAAAGAGAATTAAGTTAAAGTAGAAGAATTAAAGAGAAGAAATAGAATAGTCAGCAACATTCATTATCATTACATTAAATGTGGCAAGTGATATGACTACACAATTATCATAACTGATCATTTCGTACATGAATAAATATTTTTGTATTATTGTTACTAATAAATTACAAATTATGATAGACTTTTTCCAATCAGGATATTATTATCCTACGTACAAACGCATTAGCTTAGGACCTTAATAACTTTAGTTAAGCATAAATATGGTATTTTTTGGCTGCTGCTTGAAGTAGTAGGTGAACGCTGCTGACCAAAAAGAAGAATTATGTAAACATGAATGTGTATGTATAACTCATAAATTAAAGTAAAAAAACCCAAAAGATCAAAAAGAGTAAAAAAAAAAAGAACGAGAAATATGAAAGCACTGGGGCATATACAGTACGATATATATATATAAACACTTAGCATTTAGAGCTCTCACCAAACAGCATTTATCGTCATGTCCATTTCTTTCCAATGAATGTAGCAAAAACCTGGATAATATTTTAATTTTATTATGGTGTAGAACTTTTTTTTTTTTTACGTTTATGGTGTAGAACTAACAATGCTTTTTTTTCATGACCGTCTTCATTTACTTTTATTAATAATAGTATAGTTTTAAACAGTTATACATACAGTCACCGAACTAATAATTACCCCTTTTCCCCATCCAATTTCAAACAATTTTACGAATTCAAATAGGAGCCTTGCGCGCCAAGAAATCAATCAATTTTCCTTTTCCCAACCATTTTAAAAATCAATTAGGAGGGGCCTTGCGTATCAACAAAACAATCAATTTCCTCTTTTTTTTTTTTCTGTGTACGTAAAAAGGAAAAATCACCATCAACATATTAAATTATAAATAGACGGAGCAAATCCTCACTCTCTAAGAACTTTGCAAAAAAGAAAGTTTATCCTTTTCTCGACTAGAAAAGCAATATATGGAAATCGCAGTGAAGAAAATCGCGGAGAAAGATTACCAAGGGGCAAAGAAATCCCTTAGCAAGGCTAAGATTTTCGATCCAAAACTCAAAGGCTTGAAACAAGTTTTCGTGATGATCAATGTTTATATTTCTGCATCAAACAAAAAAAGGAGGAGAATCCGATTGGTATGGAATCCTCGGTGTAGATCCTTTAGGGAACGAAGGCAGAATGAGGAAACATTACAAGAAATTAGCTTTTTTGCTTCATCCGGACTAGAACAAGTTTAATGGCGCGAAAGAAGCGTTTAATCTTGTTTTAAATGCTTTGTGCCTATAATCTGATAAAGCAAAAAGAATCAAATTTGACCTAAGGAAGCACAAGAAATAGTATAATCTTTTTGCATTCATTTTGTACTGGATAAAGGGCTTCGTTAAAACTCATGGATAAATGTGGATAATGACATAAAATATGGTGACTAAAGTAAATTCTTCGTATGTATAATCAGCTAGTAGATTCTTCGTATGTATAATCAGCTAGTTAATCTCTCCCGCAACGATTGCTTTTTCTCCTCATTCACTGGTTGATTTTTGTGTGGTTTATTGTTGTTGCGAAGTCTATTATCACAATGATGAGAAGAGGAGGAAAATCCATGAAGCATACCCAATGGCTGAGGTTAATGAATTTTCTCTTGTTGTAGCATGAAAGAGTCCAAATCGTAGTTTGGTTCACAGTCCGGTTGATGATGTGCGCATTGTCAACGAAGCATACAAGCTCACATCCGAGGTAGAATTCCCTGCTCTTAGTCTTCGCCATCCCGAAAACATCATGGAAAACAACATTCCTTGGCCAAATCTTTATGATGTTGTAGGTCACTATTAAAATTTGTTTGTTTTAATGTTGTTTTTATTGTTTGTTTTAATGGGTTTTGTGTAATGTAGCCAAGCCCGAAGGAAGTCTACGAGAGATTCTCTCCTATGGCGACTTTCGAAAAGATGTTTAAGAAAATGCTCCAGGAAGAGAGACTGAAAACGGTTTGAGAAACTGTAGCTACCACTGTATGAAAACAATATGTTCATGTGCAGTTTACAATTTGGTTTACATTAAAACAAATGTGTTTGCCATCAAAACCTGATGTTTCTTCTTTTCTTCTTCGACTTGAATTACACCTTCTGTGTTTCACCTCTTGAATCTTATTATCCCAAATCTCATCCACTAGTTTCCATGTGTTTTTGCGTCTTGAATTACAGCTTCGACTTGGATTTGTGATTGTCTTTTCTTGATAGTTTGTAGAAATTGAAGAAGAAAGTCATTATTTTTTTTTTTAAATATGTGGTTTTGATAGGATTTGAAGGAAACAATTGTGAAAGGACTTGGATTCCAATTGGAGGAAGTGATGATCCGATACAATTGGAGGATACGATTGACCAAAATGTGCTTACCGGAAATGAAACCATGTCGAAACTTCCAATCATTCAGCCTCCTCCAAGCCCTTTCACATTGTAAATCATGTGAACATGCATAGTTCATGTTTTATAAAGAAAATTCATTCACTTAACGATGGTTTGACGAATCACGAGAAAGAGTTTCTGCAGCTAGCTAGTTCTGATGTTGTTGCTAGACAAACTGCAAACGAAGCACAAGAAAGAGTGAAACGATGGTATGAAAAGGCACGAGAAGATGTTGTTGGA